TTGGAAGGCTGAGGCGGAAGGATTGCCTGAGCCCAGCAGGTTGAGGCTGCAGTGGCTGTGAGTTTTCCACTGCACTCCAGCCTGGGTGACAGAGTGAGACACTGACTCAAAACAAACAAACAGGCAAAAAAGGTCAAGTGCAGTGGCTCATGCCTGTAACACCAGGACTTTGGGAGGCTGAAACAAGAGGATTGCCTGAGCCCAAGGGTTCAAGACCAGCCTGGGCAACTTGGTGAGCCCTCGTCTGTACAGTAAGTCAAAAAAGTAACTGGGTGTGGTTACACGTGCCTGTATTTCCAGCTACTTGGAAGGCTGAGATGGAAGGACTTCCTGAGCCCAGCAAGTTGAGGCTGTGGTGGCTGTGAACATGCCATTGCACTCTAGCCTGGGTAACAGAGTGAGAATCTGACTTGGAAAAACAAAAAAAAGAACAAGGCGTGGTGACTCACGCCTCTAATCCCAGCACTTTGGGAGGTGGAGGAGAGAGGATTGCTTGAACCTGCGGTGGCCGGGAGCTTGCTGCTGCCCTCTAGCCTGGGCGACAGAGTGAGACTCCAATTCAAAAGAAAAAAATAAAATAAAATTGAGATGAGATTGTACTATGTTGCCCAGGTTGGTCTTGAACTCCTGGGCTCAAGCAGACCTCCTGCCTCATCCTCCCAAAGTGCTGGGATTACGTGCGTGAGCCCCTGTGTTCAGCCTACGTGTATCACATGCTCACATCTGAGCACAGACATCCCTGACCTGCCCCACCCTTGTTGCCTCTCACTGACTCCCATGTGTACTGTGGCTGCTTCTAGAGGTCCCTCTTCCTCCTCTTCCTCCTGCTTCCCTTCCCCTCAGCCAACCCTGCATGTGAACCCCTGCTGAGCTTTCCCTTCCTGCAGGGACCCTGGAGGTACGTGTGGTGGGCTGCAGGGACCTTCCAGAGACCATCCCCTGGAACCTCGCACCCCCGGTGGGGGGACCTGGGACCCCAGACAGCCGGACCCCCTTCCTGAGCCGCCCGGCCCGGGGCCTTTATAGCAGAAGCGGAAGCCTCAGTGGCCGGAGCAGCCTCAAAGCGGAAGCAGAGAACACCTGTGAGTGGGCATGGTGGACCCTGAGGGATAGGGTGGGGTGGGGTCCCCAGGATGCCCCATATTTGTTTGTTTATTTGTTTGTGAGTTGGAGTCTCACTCCGTCACCCAGACTGGAGTGCAGTGACCGCTCCCGGCCACTGCAGCCTCCACCTGCTGGGCTCCAGTGATCCTTCTGCCTCAGCCT